CCCCAAAACCCCAAAACCCCAAAACCCCATAAGTGATGAGAGGGTTAATAAAATTAATATTATTATGGCTAAGGTACATAATAAAAAAGTAAGTGAATAACATCATATAGCGACTAAACCTCTTAACCCTGTTACCTAAAACTAGTTTTGATACTCCAAATCTTTCCCAACCCCAATCTTCCCACCTCATTTCACCACCTCTCAAAACTCCTACCATCCCATCTAAAAGCACGAATTCCTTCTAGACTTACTTCAAAATCCAAAAAAATCAAAAATTCCAAAACCCCCAAAAACCCTCTAGACCTCTACTATTTCCCTACTTCATCTAACCCCCTCAGTCTCTAACCTTGATTTACCTTTCTTAGCATTTTTCAGGAAGTAGAAAATTATGTGAAATAGCTACTATTAAAACAGCATTTCCACCCAAACCTAGGATTTAGCTGCTAAGAGGCTTGGAATTTGGGAATAAGGGGAGGCTAAAGTCTGGATTGCATGGGTTTGGTACTGTGACGGTGACAAGATTGCCGGAAAATATAGAATGAGGGTGGTAGAAGGGCAAATAATAGCTCCGGTTTAGATAGTTGGGTGGAAAGGAATCTTAATATAACCCTTCCTTAAGCTTCGATGTTATTAACATTATAATTAATATATTGATGCAATTTTTGGAATTTCTGGACTTGAGAACTCTTTAAGTGAGAATAGAGTGTTCATATTTTAAGATTTTTTTGATAAATTCATTGATGATTAATAAATTAGAATTGAATTTTAATAACTGAATGATGAAGTTACACATTCGTGATTCATGTATCAAAATGTTTAAACTTTATAAATGTCTACATTCATAACCAAGAATTAAGCTCCAGCTTCTAATAATTCTATAATTATTCTGGCAGGTAAAATCTCTAAAATTTTAATTAGTGTCAAAGATTTACACAAGTTTGAATTTAAGAAAATTTTATTATTTCTAATTTATTCACAAATTTACAATACTTCTTTTCTAATCTCAAATAGGAACATTTGTGAGAGAATATCAAAATTCGGTCTATCATAATGATAGTCTGATTTGTGACAAGCATTTTCGGGTGTCCTGAAGGATATTATAATTATAATAAGGGATGCATGCCATGTGACAGCTCATGTAAGACTTGTTCTGATGAGTCCACGTGTGAAAGCTGCGAAACTTTTATGAAGTTCGATGACACTACTTTACTCTGCACTCACTGATTTGAAGATGAATATTTCGACCCAACTTTGAGGATCTGTAGAAACTGAATGGACACATGTGAAGGCCATTGTAATTCTAGAAGTGAATGAACTACTTGAAGTGTTGGTGAAAGCCTTGATCTTGACACTCTTACATGTGTAACTGATTGCCAGTCATCTCAGATTAAGCTTGAAGGGCATCACTTGTCTGTACAGAGTGCATGCAGAACTCCTTATTATTATGTTGATCCTTTGAGTACTGAAGTATTGGAGCTTGGGACTTTGCACTATCCATACAGAACTATGAAATCAGTGAGCTCAGAAGTTCTGACATTTCTGTCTCATCAAGAGGTGAGCATTACTGCATATGTTAAAGATGTCTACATTGAGGATAAATCTCTGTTCATCATGAATGTGACACAATTTGCAATCCAGAGTCACCCAGATTTAGTTAAAACTAATACAAAAGCGGTTGTAACTCCAACTGAATTGCCTCAGATTGGCATTAGCAAGAAGTCAAAGTTCCACTTGCTCCAATCCGTTGAGCTCCCTCTTGATGATATCATTAGTGCAGGAGAATTTTCATCAAATGAAAAGTTGCAAATTGAAGGGAAAACAAGCAACATGGTTGTCAGGTCAGGAATCAAGTTTGAAGGAGTTGATTTCTACAGAGAAGAAATAGACTATAACAAGGATGTTCTGTTTATGCTTGGAGTCTACCTTCAAAACAACACTGCAAGCTTTTGTAAGTTTTGAATGTCTTTTTATTGATCAATTACAGCAATATATTGAATTTTATTCTGAGCAATTCTAGAATTTCACCACGACTTGCATCTTGGATCTAACTTGGTTTGCTCAATTCTTGATGAACCATGCTTGAGTTATGAATATTATATAGACCTTTGTCTTTCTTTCTTCTAATAACTCATCAATCTAACTTTCTTCAAGCTAACATGATGATTAATATCACAGGAACTTTATGGACGACTTATGACCCATCCAATATGTAAGTATCAGATTAACTGTTTAGTTATGCTAGAAATCTTGTATTTGATACTTATAGTATTCGAAAAGTTTTCTCTTTTCTGGTCACTTGAAATTACCCAGAAGCTAATAAGATTGCCACATTAGATGTTGATGGATTCAAAATAATAACTTCAAAAGATAGGACTACTGAATCTGAGCCATCTAATTTATCATCTAATTTACCTGGAAACTGGATTATTAAAAACTTTGACGGTCGGGATGCTTATACCGCAATGAATGATCTCCATTCGACTATTATATATGCTACTCAATCATTCTGCATTCCTGATGATGATTTAGTTCAGAAGATTAATTTAGAGAATTTATATCTCTCTTTGAACAATACTAGAGGAGATAAAGCGAACTTGATTGGAATGGATGTTTCTGCAAGTCATTATAGACCGATTATTGCTAATCTTCGCAATGCCAATTTTTATGGGTATCAGAAGACTCTTCTCTTTCCTACAGCATTCATTGGCACTCTTATTGATGTTGTTGAAATCGATAGTTATAGCCTCACTAACTGAAGTTTATGGAGTTATGGTTTATTAATTATCGCTTTCAAGACTGTAACTATTGGGAACTTGTTGGAGCAACCGACAGAGTTTAGCAATATTGAATCATTTGCCAGCAATTATGCATCAATTTCATTTGTTGGTCAACTTGAGCTCAGAAATGTCCATCTAAAGAATATCACTGGACTTATAGGGCAAAGTTTGTATTTTATCTCTCTAAATTCTTTTCCTTCTACTTCTGTTGTAATACAAAACTTGGAGGTAGACGATTTTACTTTCTCTCAAGGAGGAATCATTCAAGTTACGACCAGTACGAATAGATTTGAGATGAGCAATGTGATTATTCAGAATAGCCAGACTTACTCTGAAATTCCTATTTTCAACTTCAATGAAATTGGAAGCTTTGGGTTTACCAATTTCACAATAAGAAACATTAGTGTTAATGAAAAGACTGATGAGGACTCGGTTATTTTCAAAATTAATGCTCTTAACCTCAATTCTATCACGAACTCTTCTCTGCAAAATTTTGATGTTTCTGAGTGTGCAATCTCTCTCCTTCAGTTTGGATCCTTGACAAATAATAATAATAGTGAAGCTATCCATCTGGAAATGAAAAATATAACTTTCAGAGATTCAGTGGTCACTAGTCCGAGACCTGTAATTTCAACAGAAAATCTTGTTCATAAATCAAGTTTCTTCGTGAAAATCAGTAGCTTTTCTTGATCAAACATCACGTTTAACATAGCAGGAAATATATTATTATTGTTTAGTCATGGACTGATTAACCCTGTCATTGTTGAAGACTCAATATTTACAAATCTTAATTCTGCTTCGATTTCTGCTATAACTTCTGGTCAGGAAGAAAGCCTGGTTAATGAAGTAACATTCATAAATTGCTCTTTCTCTAACATTTCTACAACTTCTCAATCGCTTATCACAACTTCTAATAAGGCAGTATTTAACTTTGTTGGAAGTAAATTTGAATCGATATCAGTATTATTTGATAGATCAGGTATCATTGATGCTACTTCTAATTCTATCATTAAGATTACGAGTTCTAACTTCACCCACAATTCTGCTATAACTTCAACTTTGTTTGCTATATCTTTTGGAGCTTATGTTGAGTGAAATTCGTGAATAATTGCAAACAACTTTGCCATCAAAAATGGAGTTGTATCAGCTTCAAATAATGGATATTTTAAATTTTATGACTCAGACATATTTTCTAATATCGCTCTTCAAACTCCTATTGGGCAGATCTTTGATGCATCCCAGGCTAGTGTTTTTGATAACTGCAAGATACATGGCAATTCAGTTATGACTTTAGAAGAAATAAAACAGGAGATTCAAGAAGAGTGTGGTATGTTGTGATTTATACCGGACAGTTTCATTGATATTGTTATAACGAATGAAGAAGATAGTATTATTGCAGGACCTTACATAATAGAAGCAGTATCAGGGTCGCTTGAAATTATCAATCAAACTCTAATCTATGATCAAGATGCAATTTTGAATTTGCTTATGACTATTTGAAAAATCACAAATTCAATATTTCAAGATATAAATTTCACAATAACCCCAATTAGAGCTACTTCCTCAACGCTGGAGTGTTATGACATGAATCTCACCAACATTCAAGATTATGCTGAAAGAGAAATAATGCTGATCAATGGTGAATCCAAATTTATCGCAAGCAATGTTGCATACAATAATTCAAATGCCAAATTTATTAAAGCACTAGCTGGAGAAGCTAGTCTGACTAACTTTGTGGCTCGAAATGTCTCTAAATTTAGCACTCTTTTTCAATTTTATTCATTAGATGCTTTATCTTTAAGTAATGTAACTTTCTTAGAGTTAGAAATTAATTCAGGCCAAGTTATTCTGATTGAGAATGCTCAAAATATATATGTAGACACACTTGTTATCAATGGAATCCATACAGCAACTGTTTCAGTTATGAACTCTGTGGTTGAGTCAATCAACAATATTCAAATTTCCAGCTGTCTAAAATCAATAATAGTAATTGATTCTCACATTAAGCAACTTGAGAACTCAAATTTCACAAACAATGGAATCCAAAACAATTTGGTATCTGGAGGAGCAATCTCGATGTTTAATAGTGATGTAACTATAAGAAACACCACATTCTCCAACAATACGGCAGACAGAGCCGGAGCTATTTCGTTCGAATGAGACTCCGCAGATAAATGAAGCCTTGTTTTAGAGAGCACAACTTTCAACAACAATAGTGCATTTGTGCAAGGTGGAGCCATCTACTACAGTTTGAAACGTCCAGATATTGTGGATTCAATGTTCACTGACAATTCAGCCAGATATGGAGACAATCTTGCAAGTTACCCAGTCAAAGTCAGAATCGAAGGCCAGTCTGATTCTTACATCAAGTTCACAGATGTTGGATCTGGAATCACAATGCCATCTTCTCTTGTGTTTGCATTGCTCGACTACGACAACCAAGTTGTAAGCTTGAACAGCGAAGACACATTTGGAATATTTGCACCTGCTGGATCAAATGCCACAGTCAAAGGCGTTAACTCTGTAAACTTCAATGCAGGAATTGCCACAATCGAAGGAATTATGTTTGTGGACCAGCCAGGCTCCAAGAATGTGAAGTTTGATAGCTCTACTGCAGCAATTGACAAAGGGAGGGTATCATTGGCATTTCCAGATCAGGATTTCAATAATGATATCACAGTCGATTTCAGATTTTGCCAACCTGGAGAAGAAGCCACAGATCAAGGAACTTGCAGGGAATGTGATGCTGGCACATACTCTCTTGAATGGAATTCTACTGAGTGCATCAAATGTATGGACAATGCTTTGTGATTGGGAAGGAACCAAGTTAGTGTCAATCCAGGGTACTGGAGATCATCTCAGACATCTGAATTTATCACTGAATGATTGGTCAAAGAATCATGAGAAGGAGGATTCACAAATTCTACTCTCCATCCAGTAAACTGAGCAGAAGGGTATCAAGGAGTGTTATGCTCTCACTGACTGGTTAATGAGGAGGTAAAATATAGGAAAGTAAGCAATGCCAAATGTGATAAATGTCCAGATATTATCGCAAACACATTCTTGGTTGTGGGACTAGCCTCGCTTGTATTTGCATTTATTATGATTCTCATCGTTATTAACATCAGAAAAACAAAGGAAAGCCAGCTATCAGTGCTGATTAGAATCATGACTAATTACTTTCAGCTGATTTTCACCTCTCTGTCGCTGACTACCAATTACCCCACTTCGCTGGTGACTTTCTTCGAAATCTCAGAGATGTTCGGAAATGCTTCAGATACTTTCTTATCTGTAGACTGATTTATTAGAGATTATGACGTTGAAGGAGCTTTTGGATCCAATGCAGTTTTCAAACTCTTCTTGTTGGTATTGCTTCCACTTATATTATTCGCATTGGTTGCGCTGATTTGGATCGTGGCTTTCTTTTTGAAGAGAAAGTATGTCCCCGATCTGAAGCGAAATCTGATTATATCCTTCATTAGTATATTGTTCTTACTCCACCCCAAATTGACTGAACAGAGTTTGGGTTTATTCAGGTGCATTGATGTCAATATCGATGATGGCAGAGTCCGACTGGATACCAACATCAAATGCTATTCTGGTGAACACATCAAATGGTTATTGTTGATATCAGGACCATGCATTATTGTGTGGGTTGTGTCTCTACCTTTGACTGCTCTTGTAATACTTTTCTACAACTCTAAGAAACAAGAAGACAATAGAATCAAACAGTATTTCTTGATTTTATACCAAGGCCTCAAGAAAGATAAGTTTTATTGGGAATTCGTCAACACTGCAAGGAAGATCTTGATCTTGGTGATTTTCCCATTACCGACACTAATTAAAATGATGGTTGCAATCATGATTTTAACCATCCTTGCTCGGTTGCAGATCAAGCTTCAGCCATACAATGATGCTGAAAATAACAAAATAGAAATCTTGGCAACTAGTGCAGGGATTATTACCATCTTCAGCGGCTTGTTATATTCTCAGCCAGATGAAATGAAAGTTTTGAACACAGTTGCTCTCTTGTTCTGAATCTGCATAAACACTCATTTTATTATCAACTGGATGTATCTCCTAGTAAAACTATTTAGAGATTCTTCTAAAGTATTTCAAGTTGTAAGTACAGCTACTTTATATATAGATCTACAAACTGATCAGCTTTGTTCTTTGTAAGCGTGTATCTAAAGAGCCATTGGATTCTAAAGAGATGTTGAAGGATCTAACACAACATCGAAACAAGCCGAAGAAGTACAGAAATCATAAGAGAAGAGTCAACTTAAAAGCCCATAATCGATTGAAGAAGAAAAAGAGGCAACAGTAACAAACTTATTTATCCTTTTAGGAATAATAAACTATTGTTCACGAAAAGAATAAAGAAGATACTGAAACCAAATCACAAGGTACGCCTACCACGGTTTACTTCCCCCAAAATAAAAAAACACTAAACTTCCTTCTTTGACTTCAAGCCACTTTTCTAAGCCACCCATCCCTCTCCACTCCCCTTACCTCTCTAAAGCAGACAAGTGACCGCCTGAACATCTCCACCTCGAGAAACCATCCTTCCGCCCAGTCCCGCTCGCCCGTATTCCCATTAGCCAATACAAATTCTTAATATTCCTTATCTCTCAACCTGCCTCGGGGTTTTGGGGTTTTGGGGTTTTGGGG